AAATGCGCATCTTCTGTTCAGAGCACAACGCCCCACGCTAACACTCCATATTTATAAACAGAGGCAGATTCAATTTTCCACACACTGTGAGTGACTCTCCCCAGTCCAGAGCCCATGAAAAGCCCTCCATAGCACTAGGCCAAGTGTAGGCGATAATTTTTGAAGAGCCCATGAAAAGCCCTCCATAGCACTAGGCCAAGGGTAGGCGATAATTTTTGACAGGGGGCCACTCCAAGAATTTGGAAAGTGGTTGAGGGCCACACTCTTCCATGATATTAATGGAGGTGATACGGGGTCTGGGATGGAGGCTGGGTGCAGAATGGCGCTTGGGGTAAGGGACTGGAGTGCACGAGGAAGTGTGGGGTCTGGGAGGAAGTTTGGGTGACGGAGGCAATTGTGACCTGGGCCACTGGACTGGAGTGCAGGGAGTTGAGTTGTGACCTAGGGCAAGGAATTGGGGTACAGGAGGAGGTGCAAGGGACTGGGTTGTAAGCTAGCACAGTAGGGATTTGGGGTGCTGGATTTGGGAGGGGATATAGTTGCAGGAGGAGGCAGAGGGTTTGGGTATGTGGAGTAGGGGTAAAGAAGGGGAGGGCAGAGGGTTGGGGAAGGGAGGGGCTTAGGTGCCAGAGGCAGGGTCTGGCCAGGAGACTTACCCGGATGACTCCAGACCAGAAGGCCAGCACTTTTCAGACGCAGGCTCCCTGCCTGCCCCGCTCCTGCACAGGCTGTGGCCTTGTGCTCTGTGAATAACTACAAGCTCCCAGCGGGAAAGGGGCGTGGTGCTTCATGGCTGCCTGTTATTCAAACAGGAAACTCTCACTGGTCTGTTTCTGGCCAGAATCTGACTAATGGGATTGTGTTGAGGGTGGGAACAGCACCTGAAGCCTTCCCCCCTTCCCTCCGGGTCTCACATTTTTTAAAGTGAAACCGCCCCACAGCTGCTTTTCTGAGTGGCATGTGGGTGGGGCGAGGCAAGTGGGGAGTCTGCCTGAGGCTCCCTGCAGCATTCGTGGGTCTGATCCGGTGGTTTGGCGGGTCGGATCCAGCCCGCAGGCCATATTTTTCCCAGGCCTGCGCTAGGCCCATGTTAGCAAACAGAGGCTGGGGCAGGTAGTACTGCCAATGGTTCACAGCATTTTTATACCAAGGGGGTTCTACAGACCCACAGAACAGGGCCCTGCACAGGCCCAGAACAGGCCAACGTATTGGGGGCCATCAGAAGCAGACTAAGGATACAGGTGGTGCACTATGGTCTGGTGATGTTCCACTCTACTGGGATTGAGGGGACTCCTGTGCTAGTCCTGTCTCAGCCACTCAGCTGCTGTGGGACATTGAGGAATGTCCCTTTCCCCCTCTCCGTGCTTTCCTCTCCCACCCTGCATCTGTCTTCTCTGTTTGGACTGCAAGCTCTTTGGGACAGAGACCGTCTCTTGGTCTACGCATGCGCAGTGCCTGGAACAACAGGGCTCTGATCTCTGTGCGGCTTTTCGGTAATTCTGTATTACAAAACGACAACAACCAGGCCTACGGCTACTGTCCCAACCCATCTGTAGGAGTTTTGCCGGCTGCTTGTGGCTGGGGACAGTTCTATTCCCCGGGCCGCCTTTCAACCTGGTTCAATGGAGGATTTGTGCACAGAGGGGTGAATTAAGCCTTCTGTCTCTGTCAAGTAAGAGCATTTTTACTGGAAGCTAGTTGGAAATTTTCCAACCCAACGCTTTTCTGTCTGAGTCACAGACTTCAAGGTCAAGAGGGATAATTGTGATCATCTAGTCTGACCTGCACATCGCAGGCCACAGAACCTCAGCCACCTACTCATGAAATAGACTCGTAACCTCTGGCTGATCAGCTGACATCCTCAAACCACGGTTAAAGGATGCCACGTTATTGAAAATCCACCATTTCCACTAGTTTGAACTAGGGATGTTAGAGTGTAACAGATCGACTGTTTACCCGATAAGCTAATACTTACTGGTTAATGATCTCAGCTGTAGAGCAGCGAAGTTACCTCCCCTGGAGCCAGTGGGCAAGGGTTGTCTGCTCCGCTTCCAGGTAGGTGGCTTCTCTGCTGCAGCAAAGCCTCCTCTTCAGGAGCCAGGCCAGCAGGCAGCTTAGCTGAGCTTTAACACAGCGCAGGTAACTGTGTTACTGCTGAGATTTTCACGGGTACCTTATTACACAATTTTTAATATCCCTAGTTTGACTCTGCAAGTGACCTGAGCCCCATGCTATATAGCAGGGAGGGCAATAAGCGGACGTGGTTCGCCAGGGTCCGTCCCAGATGTTTTATTTACCTGCAGCTCCCACTGGCTAGGAAGAGCGATCTGTGGTCACTAGAAATGCGAGTAGCTGTACCTGCAGATGTACAGATTAATAAAGCATCTGCCGGCCTGCCAGGGGCTAACCCCCGAGTATAGAGGAAGGTGAAAAATGCCCATGATCTCTGCCAAGCTGACCCGAGGGAAACTTCCCTCCCAACCCCAAAAATGGCACAATCAGAACCCGAGCATGTGGCAAGACCCAACTGGCAGTTACCTGGGAAAGAATTCTCTGTAGTAATTCAGCCCTGGTCCACACTAGGAATTTATTTAGAAATAACTCCCCCTAGTTTGAAATAACAAGCAGAGCATCCACACTACCGAGCCCGTTATTTCAAAATAACAGGCTGCGTATTTAGAAATAACTCCTGCTTTCCACGAGGAATAACGCTTATTTGGAAATAGTTATTTTGAAATAGGAGTTGTGTGGACATTCCACTGCTGCTGTTTTGCAATAATGACTCCCTGAATAGTTATTTTGAAATAGGAGTTGTATGGACATTCCACTGCTGCTATTTTGCAATAATGACTCCCTGACTCATTCAGAGTAATTACTCCCCAGTGCTTCCTGGGACTCTAAGTGAAGGTGGAGCATCCTCATTAAGAAGCCTGCCTCGGACTAGTTTTGAGGCTTCCCTGTAATGGGGACACGCTATTTTGAAATAGTTATTTCAGGAGTTATTATTTTGAAATAAGTTATTTTGAAATAATTTCCTAGTGTTGCCATGCCCTCAGAGCCCTCTATGGATTTTCTGTTTTAAAACAAACTTTTTCTTTTGGTGTGAAGAAGTTCAACTGAGAATTTGTGCACAGAAAGGTTACAATGTAATAAAGTCAAAATTGGGATGAAATATCTCAATTATTTTTCAAAATGAAACATTTAGATAGACCTGAAATCAGTCTGTAATAAAGTCAAAATTGGGATGAAATAGCTCAATTTTTTTTCAAAATGAAACATTTAGATAGTCCTGAAATCAGTCTTTTTTTTCTAGAAATTCATTTTGCGTGAAATTTCATTTTTTGGTTCCGTTTTGGAAGAAATTTCAAAATTGGGAAATAACACAGGAAAGAAAAACAATCATGGTCGCCTTCAATAGGCTATAACAGGGTTCCAAAAAGAGCTAGATACATCCATGGAGGTTAGGTCCGTCAATGGCTGTTAGCCGGGATGGGTAGGAATGGTGGCCCTGGCCTCTGTTTTTTGGAGGCTGGAAATGGGTGACAGGGAAGGGATCACTTGATGATTCCCTGTTCTGTTCACTCCCTCTGGGGCATCTGGCATTGGCCACTGTCGGCAGACAGGACACTGGGCTAGATGGACCTTTGGTCTGACCCAGTCTGGTCATTATGATGTTCTTATGTCTAACATTGACCTTAAAAGTAAAATTCAAATGGATTTTTCAATCATAAAATGCTGTTTGCTCTTTTTAAAAACAAAACAAACCCTTCCATATAATAAAATGCTGTTCTGTAGAGCAATCGGAGGAGCTCAGATATTAATAACATCTCACCGAAAGCCATGGAATTTGTGTGGTGCTGGAAATTTGCTCTTGGAAAAACTAGGATGATGTGGTCTGGTACTGTAGGTTAAGAAACGAGGCTTTATGAGAAGATCATCCCTGCTCCTTATTGTTTCATCGAGATGTCTGATCCATTTTATGGAGCCAGCCAGCTATACTGCTGGACTGATCTGAACATTCCTAATGCTATAATTTCATACCCAGAGTGTCTCATGTTGTGAAACTAACTAGTGTTAATATTGGTCCACATTTTGCTGTGGGAGTGAGAACATGGCCTTCTGGTTCCATGGAGAGGATGAAAACCTGATTTTTCTGGCAGCTTCTGGTATTTCACTGTTTTATAAGAAATGTATACTGGGCCCTTAGGATGCATCGACTTATATTATGGATATTTCATTCACAGTTCATCTGGGAGCGTCCTCTACAACTGAAACCAATCTCTTTATGAGAGACCATATCATACACATAGAGAGACTCTTCAGAGAATCCCATAAAAGTAGATAACCCAGCCACGGATCACACAAGGATAGAGTAATAAACCGTTCCTGGAAGCAGGGTAGAGCAAGAGACGATATTATTTTTTTTCTGATTTGCAAAATGTTTCAATTTTAAAAATTAAATATTTCACAAGAGTCATAATAATGACAGTTAATCCTCTTTTTTTTTAAATGGCTACTTTTCTCTTCACCCATTTAAAAAGTCTCATTTCATATTAAGGTTCCAAGGGTAAATAAGTGAGTAATGGATGTTTTTATAAATAACCAATGGATATACATTGTTAGAGTCCAATATGCTTATAACCATGCCTTATGTACGGCTGCAATGCCTTCTAACTACTGATGTGCTCAATCATCAGAATCACATATTATGCCTGACTGTCACACACTGTTTGCTTACCCTTTATAAACCAGCCATAAACAGAACCTTAATATGAAACATGATCATTTTAAGATAATGAACCAAACTGATCTGTGGTGCAACCCCTCTGACTTCAGGAGGGTTACTGCAGCGATGAATCTAGCATTTATAACAGGTGATTTCAGATTAAGAATTCTGAATGAACGAATGTGGTTAATTTCACATAATAAATAAGTAAGTAGGCAGGCAGTAAGTCACCCCACTCATTGGAAACTCCCCACCTGATCTGTACCGCCCTCACCTGCTCCCCTTCTCTGTTCTCTCCCCAGAAGATGGCGCTTCACGGAAACGTCGGGGTAAGCCCTTGGACTTTATTTTGTTACATTCTCTAAACAAAAAAAGACAAGAAGTGTATAAACAGGATTTTTCAGACTGGCTCACCAAAGTTCTGCATGAATTCAATTCCACTGGAAATGAATTGAGTGATCTACATGGAGGGAAAAAAACCCCACATCCTCCCTTTCAAATCATACCTCTGAAATTCTCTGTACTTGATCCTCCCATTCAAATCATACCTCTGAATGTCTCTGTACTTGTCAGACTCATTTTTACACAACTAAGTTGAAAAGAATACACTTCAATATTTCACGCTGTCATAGTCTTTGGGGGAGATAAAAGGAATTCTACCTGGTTGTTAAAATCCTCTTCTACTGCTGAGATATTGACTATAATATTCACTTTGCATCCATGTCAAATATTTGATTATTTAAATATGCATCCACAACTTCTGTATCCAAAGCTAGCGAAGTCAATGGAAGAGCTCCCACTGACTTCAATGACCTTTGTCCTTAAGGTCCCTGTGCACTAGAAATTCACGTAAATGAACTAAGGTTCTGAAAGTCATAACAACATAAGAACAGCCAGGCTGGGTCAGACCAACAGTCTAGTTAGCTCAGTGTCCTGTCTCCTGACAGTGGCCAGTGCCAGATGATTCCAAAGAAATGAAAAGAACAGGACAGTTCTTGATTAATCCATCCCTTGTCATCCAGTCCCAAGTTTGGCAGCCAGAGGTTTAGGGACACCCTGAGCATGGGGTTGAATCCCTGGCCATCCTGGCTAATAGCCACTGACACCAAATCTATCTAATTCTTTCTGAATCCAGTTATTCCCCCTTTGGCCTTCATAGCATCCTCTTGCAACAAGTTCTGCAGGTTGATTGTGCATGGTGTGACAAAATACTTCCTTGTATTTGTTTAAAACCTGCTGCCTGTTACTTTCTGTAATTACTAGACTCACTTCTGTCGTTTCTGATTTGCCTGTTGTTTTACTCATTTTGTTTTGTTATTCAGTGTTCAAAAGGTTTCCAGTAAATTGATTTATACACAGGTATGCCTTCCATTCTCCCTTAACGCCCACATCACCTGTTTTGTCTATAAGCAAATCTTCTGCAAAACCACCTTTTTTGTATATATTTGTCTGCTCTTTCATTTGGGGTGGTAGACTGGTTTGAGTATGACATAATATAACTGAGGGTACGGCTAGACTGCGGGGGTTTTCGGGATACCAGAAAACTCCACCGCATCCAGGGAACATGTTTGCTCTTCCACTTTTTTTTGCTGAAGAGCAAACACACTCTTTTGGAAGCCCCTGTATTCCTGGTTCTACGAGGAAAAAGGGGGTTTCCAAAATAGATTTTTTTTCCCAACATTTGACCCAGTCTAGATGGGCCAAATGTCAGAAGAGCCTTTTCCGACAAAAGAATTGGAAAAAGGTAAATGCGGAGTACCCGCCCAGACCAAAGTAGCTTCCAGACTCCTTAAGATAGTCTTTATTTGTAATTCTCCCCTTTCTTCCCCTTGGATTTTCAAGGAAAATATGCTAATCTTGTTCTTCCTATCCTATATCAAAATACGTATAAAGCTCAATCTAATATTATGGAATAGCTGTTAAAAGGAAATTCGATATAATGTTTTGGTAATTATTATGAACTAAGACTGCTAATATTCATGTGATCTAAGATTAGTTTATGCGAATGGAGTCTGCAAACATATTGTTTACAAGACAATCCTTGTGTGAAGAGACAGAATTTAAATGTGTAGGTTAATGGAGGAAAGTTTGTATATCCTGTTTCTTTTAAATAATTTCTTGTTACCTCAGCACAGGGCCCAGGCAGGTTTTACCATAAGGGACCCCAAGAGTTCATCTACTCCAGCTGGGGGAGGGTTTGGGAGAGGGCTATATACCAGAAGTTGGCTACTGAACATTCTGTAATATTAATTTTCTTTTTATTTGACTTCCTGTCAAAAGCATTTAAAGTCATGCACCTTGTTAATGATCCCTTGTTTTAGTATTCTTTCCTCCATAACATTTAAAAAAAAGATACTTGTTAATAACTTGAGTGACACAGTGGCACACATCCGAACAAGCGCGCATGACCTCAATATTGCTGCACAAGACAAAATTCACTCCACTCATGGATGGAAAATCTTAGAGGGAACACTGCTATTGAGATGAGTGAATAATAATTTCTGCACTTAAAATTCCTAAACAATTTTTTTTAAAACCTCTATATGCTTAACTAAAGATACCAGCTGCTAAATTTCTTAGACTTTTTTACAGTTCCAGAAATTTCCAGGAACCCGTTTTCTCTTTCTAAATTTCCTGATACCTTGGCTTGGCAAAGTCCTCTTTATCTCTTCTACCTTTTTTTTAAATTAGCAATTTTATTGATTAAATAAGCGAATCAACACCGCTCTGTCTAATGGGGAAATTGACTGTTCTTATATTTCTCATTTAAATATCTTGCATGGAAAAGTAAAACTAATGCTACTTAAATGTAGAAATGACAGAAGTGTAACAACAGATGGAAACAATTTTCCAGATCTCTCTCTCTGTCTCACACAGAATCAAGTCCTTAACAGATCATCTAGTATGTTTAAAAAGCAACTTTCAGCCAGTGAATCTCTCTTTCTCTCTCTCTTTTTTTTTCTTTTTGTGTCTAATGAGCATGAGTAAGTCTGTTCAAAAGCCTGAACATGCATCTCCAAGCCAATTCAGCAGCAGGGGGTCCATTACTATAACAACTGACAACTCCTGTGAATTCTCAACGGCCTTAAAGTAGCCATTTGGGAAATAGTTACCCAGTAAAAATTTGCAAAGGAATCGCTGTATTAGGTATCATGTGACAGGGCCCTCGCTGCACACAGCTGCACTTCGCTATGTTGGTCATTCAAGCAGAGAAAAAAACATGTCACCAGCATCACAGAGCACCTGGGGTGCCAGAAGAGATCCTTTTTAGTTCCCTGCAGCAAGACCGGACCAAGCATCACAAGCTAACAATACACTGAAATAGCTGCGGCACACCGTACTTTGGAATTACAAGATTTTCCTCTAGACTTCACGTTGTTTTACTCTGAAAAGCCAAAACACAGAAAAGTATTTACACAGATTATCTTGTGTTAAAAGCATGAAGCTTGAACGAGTAACCAAAAGCTGCCCTGAGAGTCAAACGTAAAACGCAACAAGGACCTGCCACGAGCACAATGAGACGATTTAGCTCTCCACCAAATACAAGAAGTAACCAGTCACAGAGCTCCTCCACCTTAGTGAGCATGAGCAGGACACCAAGATATGTCCTGAGTTCGCAAGTACACTATTTCTGTGCTGTTATATCTAATGACACCGAAACCAAACACAGGTCTTGCCTAAATTGGGGAGGGAGTTTGTGGTGGTGTAAACATACCCAACTCCCCAAAAAGTGAGGGCATGCATCGGATTCCTCAATTCCTCCTTAGAGCAGGTCTATATTTACTGGAAGATCGGAGCTGTGGTGATCAATCCCTCGGGGGTTGATTTATCCGGTCTAATAAAGACCCGCTACATTGATCACTGATCACGCTCCTGTTTATTCTGGCACTCCTTTGGAATAGAAGTGTAAGGGGGGGTGTCAACAGGAGAGCCCCGGCAGTGGAGCCCCTGTGTCAACTGGATTTAAGGTACACTGACCCCAGCTATGCTCCTAAGGTTGACATTGCCCTGTAGTGTAGATCTGCTCTTCTTTCAGTTGGCAGTAATGAGGTGGAAGGGCACTGCACATTCCCGCTGCTCCTTTGGTGAGGGATCACATGGACCAACCGAATCATGGGAAGGTGGACATGATGGACCGTGCAGCAGTGTGCATGGAGCAGTTGTAATGCATTCTCCCCATACCACGCAGCACTTTGTACCTTTAGACATGCAAAGTCCACAGGGTGCTCAGATACCCAGGTGAGGGGCTCCAATATAAGAACGTAGGTAGATGCTGTATTGACAGCCCTGCCTGCCAGTGCAGGAATGGAGAGAACATCTGGAAAAGTTGCTCAGGCTGGGAAAGGGGACGGCAAGGCAGAAAGATTGTTGCGGGGATGGGAAAGCAAGAGGCACGATGAATATAGGCATGGGGGGGGAGGACGGGGAAGAGGGGGAAGACAACACTATAAGGAGAGACTGAGCATAATTGGACATGGCTGCTTAGGAGTCCAACTGAGCTCACGGCTTTTCCCAAGAAGGTTTCCTCACCTCCAGCTTGTGAGGTCACATACCCTGGTCATGACCTACAGCTCCACTCTCTCCAGATTGCACCATCAGGGCTGCGGGAGGTTTTGTGCAGTCCCGATTGAACCATGCCCACATTTTTATTCCTTCCTGTACCAACACAGATGATTCTTGTTGGGGCTGGACTCAATGACCTCCAACCATAGTCTCTTCCAACCATAGGATTCTATGGTTTTCCAGGGCTTTCCTCATGCTCCCGCACATTTTTTTTGCATGTGCACCCACCATCCATGCTAATACCTGCACATCCATCTCAAACATAAGAACGGCCAGACTGGGTCAGACCAAAGGTCCATCTAGCCCAGTGTCCCGTCTGCCGACAGTGGCCAATACCAGATGCCCAGAGGGAGGGAACAGAACAGGTAACCCTCACATGATCCTTCCCTTGTCACCTACTTCCAGAGAAATAAGGACATGAGTGGAAGATACGTAGGTACAACTTTGTAAACCCTTTGAATACTTCTGTCCTAGGTTCTGCTGCTTCCTAACGTTTGTTAAAAATGCTAACGCTATACTTTTTACATGACAGGAATTCAGCCCTGAATTTGACCAATTACTTTTACTACACACATATGTGTAGTTTTCCTTTGAAAAATGATGTTTGGAAAGGTTGGTCGCAGACAAGATCTGGGTAATATGTATCTAGATAATATGTATGAAAAAGATATGTCAATATAACTGAGTCTTTAGTTGTAAACAAAGTCTCTAGTGAAGAAATATACCCACATGGCAAACTGAAAATCATACAGTAGCAGAACCCACACTAAAACAGATCTGTTGACCTGTATGATATCA